TGAAAATAAGCTAATGTAATATAAAATTTTAACCAATTAAAGTTTATAAGTTATAGATTAATATGTATCAAAAATTTATATTTTTTAAAAAATGTTTCAGAACCCCATTTTCCTAGCAAACTTCCCATATTTTAAATTATAAAATATAAGTTTTAATTTTATAGTACATAGAATGCAATCTTAAATAGTAATTAATAATCCTTATATTATTAATTTAATTATAAAGTAAAATATATTTTATAGTTATAAGAATGATAAGAATTATAATTAAACTTAAGTTTGACTATTTTAATATAATTGTGTAAAAATTCTAATAATAATATTAATATTTTGTAATAGAAAGGAAAAAATTATAAAATAATTAATAAATTATAATAAGTATAAGTCATAAATTATAAAATTTCAATTATTAAAATATCATAATTTTTATAATATTTAAAAGAAATATAGAAAGTAACAATATTAAATTCTTAATTCTTTTTATTAAAAATGTTATGATATTAAGAATAAATATGTTGTGATATAAAAGTCAAAATGTCATAATGATACATGCAGTCTTTGATTTGTAATAGTTTTACAAAATATTTGGGATGCATGTATAACAATATAAAATAAATATTTAGATTTAGCCTTTTTTTTTAATTATAATTAATTAATTTATAATTAAAGAATTTTAATGAAAATTTGAAAATTTTAATTATCTTGTTTTATTGTATTTTTAGATTGTTAGAATATAAGTGACTTTTTTTTAAAAAATTAGCTTTAGTTATTATAAATATTTACTTATTAAATATTAAATAATGTCATAATCAAAAAGTATTCTTTAGTTGATTTCTTTTTTTCTTTTTTTTGTTAAAATTTACTTTCTAACAAAGACTGGGCGGTATCACGTGAAAACCACCTTTCGGGTACAACATTTTTAATTTAATTGTGCATTCATACAAACAAATTAAAAATCGACCCAAAGTTCTACAAACACAAATAAGATGTGCATGTTAATCAAATTCTAATTTTTTGAGCTTTTTTTAAATGTTTGATATTTAAAGTTTGAGGAAACAATAATAACAATCGGTCGATGCAAGTGGACGCGTCAATTACCCATTAGGTCTTTAGGTTCGTTCCTTTAGGTTAAGTTATTTTTTTCATGCGCATCGATTTGATTGGTTGATTGATGGCTTAAATATTGTTGTGTAAAATGTGTAATCTCCTCATTGCTTGATGAAAATGATTGGTTAACATTTTTGGCGAACAGAATAATTTCGAATACAATTAAATAATTAAAAAGCATTGTGTTAAAAATGAAAGACTTTGCACACAACGACTTGGAATTTTTTTTTTTTTTCGTTCAAAAGGTGGTCCCACTCTTATTTTATTTTTTATTTTTATTAATAAAAAAAAATAAATAAATACATAAATACCATAAATAAATCTGCATTTCTATTTGAATTTTGTAACTTAAAAATATAATTTCACGCGATCAAAGTGGACTTTGAATGAACCTTAAAATGAATTAAACAAAACTAAAAATAGGATTTTTTTTTTTTACATATTGTTTTTAAAGTAAAAAAAAAAATTCTTTTTAAAGAATCCGGAATTTTTCGAACGACTTTATCTCGAATGAACTAACGAAATTGGAATTTGTAATCACATAAAAGGATTTAACTAAAATTGGATCAATCCAAAGGTTAGATAACGATATCAGTATTTAAAGTATTTAAGTATTTTAAACAACAACAACAACAACAACAACAACAGGTTAATATTAATAATATAATAAATTAATAATTAAACGTGAAACAAAGAGAAAATTCCAACATTTTAAAAAACCAAATTCATTATAAAACTGGAAATGTTGTAACATAACTATTCCGGAATTTATTTAAAATAGAACGTAAGGTTCTTCGGGGAGGCGTTTATTTGTTTTGGTTGTGACTTTTATTATTAAAAAAAATTTTTTTTTTTGAATAATCAATAAATATGGAAATATTAAAAAAAAATAGATTGATCTAGCCAAAACTATATAGCTTGTACATTTAAACAATACTAATGTTCATTTCACTTTAACTTTATTGAAATTAATATATGCGCGTTAATGAAAGATTTTCATTATGACTTAATTAAAATTCCTTTACATCAGAGTACAAGATTATAGATTAATCTCACTATAAATCAGAAAGGTTCTCATAATAATAATAAAAAAAAAGGCGTAAAAATAGATACGAATAGATTGTCCCGTCATCGTTACTTTTATGATTTATTTATAGGTCAATTATGAACTTAAAAAGTTAACGTACATGAATGTACAAATGCGAACATAAGCGGTTATTTTTAAAATGCTATTTTACGGTGATGGCATGCCATGAAGTCTCATGTATTTAGCCAAAGAGGTTCGCGGAGAAGCCCATCAACACTCAATAGACAATCGCGTAAAATAACGTGTTGAACCCCAATCAGAAAGCAATTATATTATAAAACTGATCAACTTCATGTGACAAATACAAATATTAATATAGCTGCTATGTCCAATAAACTTTTATCAGATATGAATTGTTATTGTGACACAAAAAGAGTTGCAACGCAAAGAAAAGTACTTTGAAGATCTAGATCAATCCACCCACATGATCGAATGGCTAAACGGAAATTAAAACTCATGATATCAAAAATACGAGTATTAGAGAGGTTGTTGGAAAAAAATTTTTTTAATATGATCCAATTTCGATAGTGATCGTCTCATGTTCGGTGGCAATTGTGCAATTTCTTCCTTTTTTTACTGTTCGCAGTAAACACAAACTATGCTCTTTTAATCTCATTTACATAATAATCATGAGACATTTCTCACAAGTTTATCATTTTAGAAAGATAATTCCTTTTTTTTTTTTTTTATTGATTACATACAAATTTAAGTACAATTCCAAATATTTTCAGGTTTTAGGTGTATGAAGGTTGGTATTTTTTTTTTATTTTTTTTTATTTTTCTCTTTTTTAAAAAAAATTGATGATGATATTCAATGCATGCATTTAGATTAAAACGTTCTTGAAAATTAATCACGGTTAATTCCAATCCGTAATTTCCGTAGTTTCAAGTTTTTGTCAAAAAAATAAAAAAAAAAAAAATAAGGAAATAAAAAAAAAGGTTTGGCAAAGACCCTTTAAGATGACATAATCGAATAAAATCAAGAAATTGAAAAAAGGAGAATAATAGATCGCATGTAATCCGATTAATCCGAAAAACCGAATTGAATAATCTAAAATTTTAAATTAGTTTTGTTTAATATTTTCGGATCCAAGAGAGTCAATTGGAATCATCATAATAAAAAAGATTATATTAAAAACAGAATTACATAATATAACAATTTAAAGCCCATTGATTCGTACAAATTAGGAAATTTTAATACCTTATATAAATCGACTTATCAAAGACGCCAACAATCTTTACTTGTTAGGAAAGTTGTTTGTTGTGGGGTGATGTCTTTTTAAATTTTAATAAAACACTCATCTCCTTTCAAAATATTTCTTTATTCTCACCATTGAAAAAAATAAAACGGAGATACTTGTTTTTTTTGGTAATCGCGTAAAGGGTTGGTTTAGTTAACATTGGTCATGAAAAAACGATTCCGGTAAAGTAACTTGTCTTGAAATCCAAGCATATTCATTTTTGATGGCCCAATTTGGAAGGTTGAGGTCAATTATGCATTGTGACTGGATGTGACGATGTGCGTCAAGTGGTTGATAATCTCTTTTCCATTTGACAATCGTAGAAGTTCATTCAACAACTTTTCAAACCGGTTCTGATGAAAAATTTTTTTGAGTGACACCTCGAATACCTAAAAAATCAATTTTCTGATATTGAATATCACTTTTGTCACACACCAATTGCGATATCACACAACATATATCATGATCCATCGGAGAAATCTCCCTCGTGCCTTAATGATTTAACGAAAGTGATAAGTGGATTTTTTACCAATTAAAGAATGTAACATCCTGGATTTAATTAAATCGATTTAGGTTGATGTATGCGAGCAACTCGTTTCTTGATGCCTTTACCTATATAAAAAAAAAAAAAAAAAAAAAAAGTATTTCTATTTCCTTTTTTTATTTTTTTTTGGTGGGGTAATTTGTTCTGTTAAACAAACAGGTTCATTCAAGTTACCCGTCACGTTTGTTAACTTTCAAAAAAAGAAAAAAAATTTTTTCTGCATTTGTAATGTTTGTCATGCATGATCTTATTTTGAAAAAGATTTTTGCACGTTGAGGTTTACTTGAAATATTTAACAAGGTTACTTTTCTTTATTGAGATCAGTTCGATTAGAAAAAAACACGAGATGAATCGAACGTGCCCGGTTGAAAATGGGAATACGAAGCGGTGAAGCACACATGTCGTGAACAACGACGTGAGGCTCGGTTCCTTGTAAGTTGGAATCTACGCTCGAAATGATTTGCTTCTAGGTTGGCGTGTGTTACAGTGTTACATTGCGAAAGTAACACGTTAGTTACACGCTCGATTTGACCGCACTTTATAAAGGATTAATTTTCACGATTATGTAAGTTCAATTTGCAATCATCATTCGTTTGTCCGACAGAATTTAGGTTTTGGGTTCTAAGATATTTTTCATAGAAACATGTGTCAAAAACTAGATAAATATAACAATCCTTGTGAATGGATTTCTTAAATGAGCGAGTACAATGGAAATTGTTCAAATTTTTTTAGGTTTTTTTTTTTTTTTTTCTCTGTTTTTAAATAAGAAAAAGGCTAGAAACCACTTAAATTAGTTTAGGTAAGGTTCGGTCTAATTTTGTCGAAACAATTAAGTTCCCCAGAAAAATAAAAAAAGGATCTAACCTTCAAATGTTTCAAAATTCCGAATTTTTTTTTTACATTATCACAAAATTTTTTTATTATTATTTTTTGTTGGACATAAATTATTAAAAAAAAAAGGATTACATAATTTTTAATATATCGACATGATATGCCTCAAAAAAAAAAAAAAAAAAGTAAAAAAACAAAACAAAAACAAAGAGTAAGAAGAACAAAAATAATTCAATCCCGTTTTTTCTTTCAAAAAAAAAAAAAAAAAACTAATAATGATTTAATAAACCCATCAATGGTTAATGATGATTATTATGAAAGATAAATCGATGACTTCATTGCCTCATCACAATGAATAAATAAAGTTTGGCTTTTTATTTTGGAAAAAAACTGGATTTTAATATAATTAGGATATTATTCAATGTTCTTGTGTATCGTGTAACCAATTCATCTGATTTTCATTCGAAAAAAAAAAAACCTCTCTTTCTTTCTAACATCTCGATTAAATAAAAGATTTGTCAGAAAGTCCCGATTCTTGTATCCCAACAAGAATCCTTTAATATTGTGAAAAATTAACTGATAATCCTGATATTTTCTTTTTGATGATAAAGATTCCTCGTGATTTTTTTTTATTTATTGTGGGGAAAAAAATCATCAGGTCGGGATCGGTAGAACATTACCTTATTAGGCAAATAACAAAAAAAAAAATATCCCGCGATTTCCCGCAGCAAACGGCCTAAGGGTTTGAACGCGTGTTAATTACGTGCTAATCTATATAAATGGAAATAATCATTGATCTCTTTTTTTCCTGTCGTCATCATTTGGAATAAACCAAATCTTTCAATGACAAATAAGAAAAATAATCAAAGTTGACAAAACATTGATTATGAAATCCACCTAAAAAATCTATCAAAACTTCATTTAAACTAACTTTATTATTTTTTTTTTTTCATCTAAATAAATAATCATTACAAAAAAGAGATCATGCGATATATAATATAAATCGGGTAATCAAGTACCAGTAAAGCCCGACGGAAACTAAACAGTTTGCTTTGTGATTCGTACCTGTTTCCGTACTGGTTATTATCATTTCATTACAGGCTTCGACGGCGTTTTCTAAAACAAATACTTATATTTTATTTTATTATATTTTTTTTTTAAAATAAAAATAATATTTGTTTGTTTGATTTTCCTTCTACTGTTTCCATTTTTTTTTATTTTTTTTCCTAATCGGAATTGTCACAATCCACCTTTGATAAACTTCAAAGGGATGAATAACTCACGACGGTATTTCATTGTCTTTATTTTAATCCTTATAAAGACATTATGTCATCATACAATAAATGATTCCGGAATGAAATCCGCGCGTTTCTAAAAATATCATTAAACACATAAAGAAGAATACCTCATAAGGTCATACGCTCATTCACAACGTGATGGGCCAGCCTTACATCACCATCCTTATAGGGACTATAACAGGCCGCAAATAAACCACATTACCGAATTTGTACTTTTACATAATGAACGTTCATTCTCATTTATCGATTCCCTAAATTTATCGTCAAATCATAAATTGTCCCGAATTGAGATAATAAGGTAACGAATATTCTTGTCCTTATCACCCCTTCCCTTGTCTTTAAGTTTTTTTTCTAAAAAAAAAAAAAAAATAAAAAAAGTCAACAAACAATCAATCATTGAACTAGAAAATCCTGTCATGAAACCTCCTAATGATGATGTTAACTTAATTAAATATAGGTTTCCCCGAGTATGATACCATAAAAGTATTTATTAATTTTTATAAATTAAAATTATTTTAATTTATTTAATTTGGTATCATTGAAACTAATTAACCTTAAATTAAATTAGGAACTTGTTATTTTAAGTTAATGCTTGCAAAAAAAAACAAAAAAAAAAACAAAAAAACAAATACACGGGCAACTCACAAACTTTAAAAAAAAAATCCCCCCCAAATTTCATTGTTCTCCCTAAAGAGAAAATTTGCATCCCATTAAACAAATATCATACCGTGGAAAAAAAAAATGTGATTATTTCACGGTGATAATCAAAGGGACTCATCACAACGGGGCAATTCGTCAAGGCTTTGATGATTACACATCGCATACCTCTTTTATATTAGACATCAAATGAGGAAGGGGGGAGAAAGTAAAATCTCATATTTTGTTTGTTTTTATTTTTATATTACTTTGTCTCACCCACCTTTTTTTTAATTTTTCCATTTCCTTGATATTTGAAACCATCACCAGTATCACTATCTGAAACTGTGTCCCTGTTACTATGCATATGGAAATGGCATATAATAAGTGCTCAATATCACATTACACAAATCGTCTCATTTGGGTTTAATTTAAACTAAAAATTGAATGAGGATTAAAAATAATTAAAGTATTGTACAAATGCTTAGCCAAGATAAATTTGTGCGTATGTTTATTGATTTTCGTTAAGTGCTACAAGGCCTTTTATTTTATTTTTACTTTAAAGGTGGAGAAAAATATAAACGAAACGTCAATCTTTCAAAAAAGGATGTCATGATGTCATGATTAATAAAATGAAGTTTTCACGTTCAATTTTGTTTGTGGGGTAAAAACAAAATAAAATGAAATAATAAAAATAACACAAAGAAGAAGGCTTTTGCCCCCTGTTTATTGAATTGTTGTATGAGTTGCCAATCGTGAATTATTTATGATCTATTGAAAGGGCAAGATTAAAAATTGTTTTCCGATTTATTAATTATGATTATTCAATAAAAAAAATCTTGTGGATGGGCACATTCAGTCTTAAAAAACGCCATCAGAACCGTAGGGAAGTACCAAAAAAAGACTTACATAAAAGAAACCATGATATCATCATATCTTTCCATCTTTTTCATTTATTAGCGATAGAGGGAAAAACAATCTCTGTTAGAAAAATTCAAGAAAAAGGTGTATTGTTCGGTTTAAAGGTTTGACCATCAAGTGCTTGTGTAATCTGTAGATCGTTCCAATTTGAAGATCAAAACTTTAAAAAATTTTCGATCTAGGCAGAAAATGTTCAAATGTTTCAAATGTTTCAACGTTCTAACCGTAAGGAAAACTGCATGATTTCTTTCTAAAATGTTTAAATGATTAAATAAATGTCTCTCATAAATAAATATTACCCCAGCTTAGAATCACTTGACCCTTTTAAAATCTGAAAAAAGAAGATACCTTGTAATCCGCGTTTACCTTTTATAAACTATATTAGGTATAGGTTTACGTGGTCTTTATACTGTTTTGGAAATATATATATAAATATATAAAAATAAAGTCATAAGGTTATTTTTGTCCTTAAATAAAAAAACGAAACTAGAATTTATTCATAGCTTATTCAAAAAAATAAAATCATTTGCGGAATATAATTGAACCTTTACTCTTACTTTGACAGGAATTTTCTCCTTTTAATATAAATGACCTTAAATGGTTAAATCATTTTCTCTCCTTTTGAAAAATTTCCTTGACGTTTTTTGTTTATCATTTATTCATTCATTATTATTTATTCAATGAAAAAACTTTATTTCTTATTAATCAAGATTAATTAAGAAATCCTTAAAAAGACAAGAAAAGAACCAAACAAAAAAAAAAATTTCTTGATGACTAATGGGTACGGATAAAGATTGAAACATTAATGAGAAAAGTGGTGTGTGTTGTGTTTATCATCTTTTTTTATTTACCCAACATATCATTGCGTTTACATAATGAGAGTGTGGAGCGGAGCTATTCCTGAAATAATCCGATGGAATTGCACTATAATTAGCTTAAGTCTTTTTATATGTAATTTTTAAGGTTTATTAAATATAATATAAATAGTCAAGTCTGATAATTTAAAGTTTTTATAGTAAAGTTGGATTCTAATTTAAATGTTAGTAAGTTTCCTTTTTTGATGAGACATTGAATGGTCAAATGGCAAATGAACAAAAAAAGTAAATGACTAGCCCTGTTGAAAGCAAATCACTTTCTGATCTAAACATCTTGGCAAAACGTTTCACTCGTGTTCAAATCTCGTTTAAATGAAAAGTGTGTGCTTTATAAATTTCCTTTTATAGGAAAAAAATGAAAAAATGGAAACCTTTTTCTCTTCTCGATCATGCTTCGGTTTTGATTAGTTAATTAAATTCAAGTTTAATTAATTAACCATTAAAAAAAAAAAAACTTTTGCCAACGATACGGATACTTAATTTCCGAATTTTCCGGAGGATTTTTTGGGTGGGATTTTGGGAAGGATTCAAGGATGGCTTCTTTATATTTTTATTTATAATTTTTGAGTTTTCGGGTAAATCGTCTTGTCATACCTAATCACACATGTTTTTTAACGACGAAAATCCCTCTCCTATTATTATCAAAATATTTTGTAAACACAAATGCAATTTTTTTTGGTTCGATGGAATAATTTTAATGTTAAAAATTTTTCGATGATACATGTTTTTTTTTTGAAGACCCTTTTTTCTTTATAAAAAAAAAAAAAAAAAAAAAAACTGTATAAAAAATATATGTAATGATTATTAAATTATTATTATTATTATTATTATTATTCCAAATAATGATTGAAAGAAGAGAATAAATCACTTTCGAGGGGGAGGGCAATAGAACAAAAAAAAAAGGAAAAAAAAGAAAACACTTGAAAATAATAATTCTCTTTTTTTTTTTTTTTTTCTTTGTAAAAAATAAAAAACAACCACACACACGTTCACTATTTGAAAATTTAATTATTCTTAAAATTTTTTTTTTTTTGCACTTCCTTTTTCTTAATACAAAAAAAAAAATTTTTACATTCACAAAAAAAAAGCACAAAAAAAAAAACTTTTGTAAAAAAATATAATAATGTAAATGAAACTAATTAATGGATGAAATTGTGGTAAGTATTATAATATATACGAGTTAAAATATGTTGTGATGATGTAAAATACTAAAATATAGTGTTGAATAAAATTTCGTTATTAAAATTTAATAATTTTTTTTTTTTTTTTTTTTTTTTTTTGTGCCAAAATGTGATGTTTTGAAAATAAAGTGTGATTAAACAAAATACCGATCCGCCTAAAAAGTGATTAGTGGCGATGAATTAGATTACTTGAATAAAAATCTCTAGGATTTTTTTATCTTTCGATCAAAAATACCATCAAAAAAAAATGAAAAAAAATGAAAAAAAGATTTACAAAGAAAAATTTGAACAAAAGAGAAAAAAATCGTAGACAAAAAAAAATAAAAACTAAATAGACAAGAGTTCTTATATGATGAAAAAAAATAATAGCGGAGGAGAAAAAACTATACAAAAATGGTGTAATTCATATTGGTTATAATAAATTTTGATATTATAGGAAAAAAAAACTATACAAATTTTTTTATCACGAAAGAAAAAAAAATATTTACGAATGGAAGAATAGAATGAATGAAGGATATGTATAAATATCACATGTCACCATTGCTAGTAATTAAAATAATAAAATATTGTATTCCATCGCACAAGCCGCCAAAACCACACTAGCAAAATAAAATTTTGTAATTAAAAAAAAAATGGATTCCACACAATTGTCCGTAAAGAATGGAAATGAAAAAAAAAAATAAAAATCGAACGAAGTGAAAAAAATTTTGAAAGAAAACAATTTTTTTTGTTTGTTCCTATGCTTTCATCAAATTCACGTCATCGAATTTGTGAATGTTCATTCAGTGTTGTAACGTCGAGTGAAGGTTTCCTGTTTGATACGTTTGTAAATAGGGAGTGAAATTGCTGAAATTTCTCGAGTTTGCGTTCTTTTCCTTGCCATTGGGTCGATGAACACGAACATGTTGAGAAAGATTGTCCGAACGAGAGAATCTCTTTGTGCAATGAGGGTGAGGGCAATGAAAAGCTAAAAAGTAAAGAAAAGAATAAGAACGCGTTAAATGTTGAAAAACACGTTGAATCGACCGAAACCTGTTTTTTTCAGAAAACTTACGTCTCTCAAGGGTATGTATCGACCGAATGTGTCTCTTAAGATGTTCGGACCTTTTAAAAATTCTTCCACAGCCCGCATAAGTACACTCAAACGATTTTGTACCGGGTTTTGTTGGTTTGTTGTTCATTCGTCGTCCCCTTGATTTTCCAGATTTTTGCGGTGAAGATAAAGAAGGCGAAGTCATTAGGAATTCTTGTGGATCTTGAAGTTGGATCCCTGTGTTCATGGTGGCGCTTGTCACGTTAGCCCTTCGGCCCCGACCCCGTTTCGTAGGCTGCATCATAACTTCATTCGACATATTCTCATTCTCTCCGCTAATCATGTGTTGTTGCTGATGATGTTGATGATATTGAGGTAAGATAGTTGGCGTCATGATGGGAGACTGATCATGAGGGGAATCAATGGGGGTAAGAGGATTCGTTGAAGAGATGCTCGCGGGGCATACTGAAAGATCTGGACAACTACTTTCTGAGCTTAAAGTTCTAGACATTTCATAGAGAGAGGCGTCAAGAGAATCATATTCCATTTTTATTTTTGGATCAAATAGGCTATAGTTGTCGCTTTCCGGGGACGAACATGTGGTCGCGTGAGTTGGAGGGATCAATCGAAAAGCGTAAGCTTCCATGAGCTGTTGTTCGTTGTCAGTTGTAAGAAGATCGGTGTAAGAGATGCCCCTTCCATTCATGGCGAGATATTCTGAAGTCATGTCAATATCTTTTTGATGATGTTGATTGTATGGTGGAGTCGGATGGTGAATGATGGGCATTGCTGATGGTGAGGCCATTGAGGAGTAATTAAATGAAAAAGTGGGATCGGAAAGATCCGGAAAATCATAACGTTCATAACGGAGTGATGATACCATTTTTTCGTAAAAATAAACGTTGATTTATGTTTAAAAAAAAAAATCGTTAAAAAAAAGAAATCGCGTAAAATTTTTTGTTTGTCGGCTCGGTAAATTCTGGATTTTTTGAACGCTTTCCAAATAGGATGTGATTAAAGACGTTTATGTTTTCCAGACTTGTGAAATAAAATAAAAAAAAATTTTTTTTATTCCTTTTCTTCCAAATTAAAATTATTTCGTGACAAAAAAAAATTGTTTATGAATAAGAAAGAAGTAGGGATGAAAAAAAAATATATTCGGATTGTGAATAAAGCTTAAGGAAAAATTAAAAGATTTTGCCAAATTTTTGAAGTAATATTATTTCTCCAAAGAGTCATTAAAATAAATTGCCAATATTGTTGTTGTTCTGAGTAATTAAAATTATTATTTTTTTTTTTTTGCTTGAGATTTCAGTTAACGTTAAACGTAGCAGAAAGAATAAATGTCTCTCTTTTTTTTCGGGATAAAAAAAGGGAGGCAATCAAATACAGTTGAATAAAACTTGAACTGCTTGTATCAATAAGAAGATAAGCTCGAGGTTTTTTTTTGATTTTTTTTTTTTTTAGAGTATATGACTAAAAAATTTTTTTTTTTTTTTTAGTAAGACATACGATAAACGATACGAAGAAAAGATTACTAAACGAAAAAAAAAAAATTTGATATAATATACACAACAGAGATATGAAGAGAAGAAAAAGAGGTCACAAAAAAAAGGAAGAAAAAAATTTTTTTTTTTTTTTTTCGTAAAATTTTTTCTCTTTTGAAAAGTTAAAGGCAAATTGCCCTTTTTATCATTATTTTTTTTTTTTTTTTTTAATGTATTGGTTTTTTTTGATACATACTGTCGATTAATATATATGTATAAGTATATGCTGTATAAAGTATAATAATAAAAAAAAATGTTTTATATAATACATGTCTGACTAAAATATATTATTGACTTCGAATCTTTTTAATATTAATAATATAAACAAACACTTATTTATTCAAAAAAAAAAAAAAAATAAAGTATAATTAGTATTATATTATTTATTTATATTATATCATTTTCTACTGTGTGCTGTGTGATATTACCAAATTTAAGCTAAATAAGCTAAATAAACATGATTCTTTTTTTTTAAAAAAAAAAGACTTTTCAACTTTTGGAGATGACGTAAATAGATTTTCAATATCCGATTTGAGCCATTTCACCTGAAAGGCCGTTCATTGACACTCTCCGACGAGTCCGTCACGTCAATAAACTTCAACTGTTACTGTTACAGTAAATCATAAACAAAAAATCGTAAATATAAACATTTAATAAATGAAACTTTTTTTTTATTTATTAAAAGTAGTTAAGTGAACATAAAAAGGCCCTTTTAACCTTTGCGTACCTTATTAGTTAAATATGTGTGATTAATGAAAAATGATGTGATATAACAAAGAAAAAAAGCTCTGGCCGTAACGTTTTTTTGATTGGTACGATTCCATTTTTCTCTGTGTGTGACTATTTTTGAAAGTGAAATGAAAAAAATGCTGAGCTGCAAGCAACAAGAAATCGTCAATGTGTCATGAATGCAACAAAGCTGATTGAAAATAAATTTTATTTCTCCAAAAAAATGATAAGAGCACAAGTCACATCCAGCAGCCTTTTGTCCGATTCAAAAAGATGCACACATTCGGAACGTTACAAATACCATATTTCCCATTTATTAATTTTTTATTATTATTATTGATTACTTAATTGAATGAAATATCAGGTGTTAAACTATGGGAGTTCTTTCAAAGGTGAGCATATGACCGATGTTTTCATTAAAATTTTTGATTTCATGACCGAAAAAAAAATCCTGAATTGGAATCTACGATGAATCAATGTTTCGTCACAATGTGTTTGTGATCATGAAATCTCTGTTTTTTTTTCTTTTTTTTTTTTAAAGCTCCTTAAAAGTATCCGTGCGCTTTGTTCGGATTTTTTTTCTTAAAAATATTTGTCAGGATTTTTTTTTTTCCTTTTTTTTTTTTGCCCTCCAAGAAAAAATTCGACAAGTCCATTTTTGGACATGCTCTTTTTTTTTTTTTTTTTTTCTCAGGCTAACGTGGAAATTTCCTAATTATTCTGCTCTAATTTATTATTTATTTGTTTTGTAATCGCTTTCTACTAAAAATAGCAATGACGACCATCTATTTTATTATTTTATTATTTCAAGGTGGGACGTCGATTTGATTGGGAACAAAAAAAAAAAAATAAAATAAAATAAAAAAAAAGCAAAGCAAAGCAAAGCATCGACTGCGTTTTCTTTCTTAATTCATCACATCAACCGTTTCATGTTTTTCTTTATCTTTTTTATTTTTTATTTTTTTTATTTTTTTTTTAAAAAAAAGAGATGTGCCCGCCAAAAGGTGGAAAAAAGGTACATGATTATATAACAATGTATTATTTCATGCAAAAGTAGATTAATTAAATAAAGGTAATTGTTACAATTGTTACGTGGCGTCAACGACCAAAACCAAAAAATAAAGAAGAAAATATTCTTTGAGTGAAATTGTTACTATTATTTATTCTCTTGTTTCCTTTCAAAACCAAAACTGAGATAAACCGAAACGGTTAAACCAACCAACAACAAGTTACAAAAAAAGAAACGAGAACACCGCATAATAATTAGGTAAACAACATTATTTGATTTTCGAGCTGTTCGTAAATAAATGTAATGTAATAATAAATAATTTCACACACATGAAATGAAATTTTTATTCGTTTATTTCATACATTGCATAACTAAGTTATCCGACAGATATTTTGGGTAGCTCTTTGACACAAAAATAATTGCGAGCATGGTGTTGAGTTGATAAACCACTTGATTACATTTGATTACCATCAATTATCGGATTTGGTAATTTGGTATTCAATTATTTATAACGATTCACCTGATTGGTTAGTATCTTCTAAATCATCCACATATCCATGTACCTTTAAACCAACACAATATGGTTGATCCCACCCTAAATATAGAAACCTGCAAAATTAATTTTTTTTTTTGGGTCGAAAGCTCGGTGTAATGTAATGTGATGATATGCACTCGTGCGCTTAATTTCCTTTATCCTACTTTGGAACCTCTGAGCGGATATGGTCATTTGGGCGGGATTTATTCTTGTTTTGAACTTTTTTTCATAAATTCTTTTCAACGTGATATGATAGAGCTCATACATAAAAAATGTGAGCGTGGGCATGGTGTCGCAGAGATTTGAAAATTTTCTTATTTCTTTTTCAATCATTCCAAAAAAGTCAATTTCATTAGAGAATCATATATGGTAATATGAAAATTGTTATAAATTTGGTGTAATGAAGAACCTTCCGGTTCTTTCCTCACCGCGTCTTTCGAAATGATTTCCTACCTGTTAAAAAAAAAAAAAAAAGGTTTTCTGCTTCGTATCCTTTTTTGCTTTATTATTAATATTATTATTTATTCTCTTTCAAACCGTGTGCTAATACTTATAACATGGATCATGAATTCACAGTTGAATACGATTAGGAATCCGGATGCGGTGGCACCGATTTCCCTACTCCGTAACGGACTTTCCGATTACCGATAAAAATATAGCACGCCTTGCACGCTCGTCAGTTGAAAGGTGAATTTCTTTTCTGACGTTATGTTTATGCTCTGAATTATGTAACAAAAGGGTTTAAGGGTTTTCGTGGTGACACTTTCCTATCCTAAAAGGAATAATATTATTATTCATAATAATAAATAATTATCATATAAAAAGAAGTAAAATGGAGCCAAGCCAAAAAAGATCCCGTTTTAGTCATCGTACAAATGATTATTAACTAATAAACAATCCCTTTTTATTTTTTTTCTTATGATATCTTTTTTTTTTTTTTTTCATCGTCACTTACAAATAATCATAATCATACAAATTTTATGATTATTACTAACAAACTTGCCAATATTTGTGCTAAAAAAAAAAAAAAATAAAATAAAATTAAATTAAATAAAGATTTCTAAAGATGGAAATTAAATTGAGTAACGATTAATTAAAAAAAAAAATTCCATTTCGATTGTCTTTTGATGACCGAACTTCAAAATATTTATGTTTATTCTCTAAAAAAGTCAATTTTACCGTATACCTTGCATAAAAATTTAGAAGGTTCCATACTAAATCTGTTCAATGCACATGGGTCACATTCATTCCATTCATTGAGGTTCCGAACACAATAGGTCTCATTCCTTCTTGATATTAATTACTATATAGGGCAATCCTTTTTCTTTTAATGACCGTTTGAAAAGTGTAAGTATGCAGAGTGTTTATTTTTGACCTTTATTTATTTTTTTTTTGTTAGGTCATATTTGGAAGTTGGATGTTTGATGTCATAATAGAAAGAATTAACTTTTGGCCATGAGATCTTTGATTTTAAATAATAACTTTTCCATTCACGTAAATTACGTCCGTGATGCTCACCTTTTTTTTTTTTGTAACCCTTATCTATCTTGCCCTTGCCGAATTTGTCAAAAAATCTTCCAGTATATTGCGTCCATATAGAGGAATGATTTTCTTCATTTTTTAATTCGAATTTTTTTTTATTGTTATTGGCTTTGGTGGGTGGGGGGAGGGGGGGGCTTGATTATTACTTTTCACCATAGATTTTAAGAATTACAAGAAAAAAACTGTGCGGTTACCTCAAAAAAAAAAAATCCAAGGAAAATTTAAATTGCACACATGATGATGTAATGATGAAATAAAGATTTCATGCGTCCAACGTATCACATCATAATATCCCCCATGTCGAATGATTTTTAATTATATTTTGAAACAAAACAAAGAAGAAAAAATCAATAGCGGAGATTTTTACCGTGACGATACGACCGATAACATGTAATCAATAGACCGAAGATCCATGATCGATTTCCGTTTAAAAGTGTCAAAAAATGAATATTGTGCCGCAAAAAGAAAGATTATAGGCGAATCCCCTATACATGATTTTTTTAAAAAAAAATTAGAGATATAAGATGAACAACAAAAAAGTCTAGCCTTTTTTTTTACCATATTTGGATTCAATTTATTTACAAAGGCAATAAAAAGATTTCCTAATCCGGTTTACGCCTTTGATTTAATGTCCTTTAGAAGCATTCTTGAGAAAATCCTTACCATTATTGTAGACAATCTGTAGATTGGTTCTTGATTTATCAATGCGCGCCCCTTACCAAATTAAGAATCATCTCTTCGTCGCGAAGGAAAAATAACAAAAAAAATAATGATAAAATAATAAATAAAGACCCACCATTAAATCTCACCTGATGCGCACCTTATTTTTCATGCTAAAAAGCTTGATCCTTACTTCTTTTAAAAGGTGAGGAATCACGATAATTGATGCATTTCAAGCATGCAATTGATGAAATTCTGGCCAGCCCGACCGATTAGACTGGCCTAGAACACCAATTAGCTTAACTCGGATCATTTGACATTTCGCGACCGATTGGATTAAGAAAAGAATTCAAGAAAAAGGCCTCATTAAACATGATGAAGAAAGGTTTAGAATGACGCACAATATTACATAATCATATGAAGATTTCTCACGATAGACCCTTAAAAGGCAAAATTAAAAAAAAGGTTGGTCATTTAATTATTAAAGAATTCATTAAGAAGAATTTTAATAGATTAACAAATTAATTATGATCATTATAAATGTTTTGATTATGAAAACAAAATCCTTTTTAACCTTAAAAGCATTTTTATTTTTTTGTATCGGTAAAATCCGAATGAAAATCTTCATACTAGAATTCCAATTATGTAATCAATAAAAAAAAAGATTTAAAATGACGAAAAGAACAAGAACCAAGCTAAGCCAAATTAAAAATTTTATAATATTTTGAAACAACAAAAAAAAAAATTTCTGAAACGTCGGATTTATCCATACAATATGGGAAAAAAAATGTCGACCCTTTTTTTTTTGGTGCGTCAAAGTTTTTTGATTGTGATATTAATTTTTTCTTTTTGTTTCGGTGATGTTTTGAAAGACTTTTTGACAGAGAATAAAGAAAACGGATGTGACAAAGGAAACTTTGTTCCGTACGAGTTGTGTACATCATTAGTGGAATCAGGTTTGGAAGGTTCAAAACCGGATTCTAGCAGCGCAACAACCCCCATATGCACAGGTAACAAAAAAAGAAATCATTCAGATTTAAAATTAACCTGCCTATAAAAAGAAGCTAGGAAAAGCTCAAAAATAGCAAATCAACTCATCGATTAGTTCTAGTTTATTTACCATTAATTTCGGATCTGCATCCATATTGATTGATGCATCATTCTATCTTTAATAATAATGGATTCCTTTGTATCCTCTATTAATTGACTGACAAATTTTTAAGCAATGTTTTGGTCTCGCAATTTCATCATTTGTTTCATGTCGGAATCAAAATTTTGATTATTTTTATTATTATTTAATGATAAATTAATTCTATGCATATAATTTGATGTTATATTGGGATGGTAATCAAAATCTAAAAAATAAATGTGTAACAAGGATCTATAAATATAAATAACTGAACACACATGGAATCTTGGAAGAATTCCAATTGAAAACGTTTCAGAATCGATATCCTCGTCTCTTTCATTTCAACTGTCACACATATCACATCTTTTTTTCCCATTCCTTAATGTGATAAGAGGAGGTATCATCACATTAATCTCGAAAACCTTAAATTAGAATTTTCTGACAAGATTGATTTATAAGGGGTATATGATATTATATATTACTCTTTCCATAAAAAAAACATCTCTGTATTGTAGATCTTACGCAAGGAAAATCTACAAACAACCCATTAGATACTTAAAACACATAAAAAAAAAAAAAAACTGTCACAACCACGATATCGCAGACACATGACTGCATCTAAAAACACTTCTTTTATTTTTTTATTTTTTTTTTTCGATTGAGAAAAAATGGACAAGTTTGCTTTCAAGTTTTTTTTCTGCTAACGCACAAACCAATAAACAAAGGAATCAAGTTTTTTTCCGTTCACAAGGGTATTTTTAATGAAGTCATAAATTTCTTTCACCGGAAAAACATATTATTAATTCCCTTTTATTTGATTATTGTGTCTTCTAAATCCGGTTATTGATTATTATGATTTTTTTTTTTTCATTTTTCAAATAAACTTAACTTTATTCGAGTTTCATTTAATACAATTAATTTTTTTAATCTGTACATATTCGGGCAAGTTCATCGTTGTCGACATAAAGGATTTTTTTACTTTAACATCATCCCACGTTCATTGAGGAAATTTCCTCCCTTAAATAAAAAATTATGTCATCATTGGCGAAAAAATTCAATTTATGTTTCAAAAATCCCCTATCAAACATCTCTCATATCTATCAATCATGAGTTTTACATATGAACTGCATCTACCTTTTACAAAAGGGTTAACGAGGATTCATAAAAAGTAAAATTTTCCCCTTTCTTTTTTCCCATAAATGGACTCTCTTTTTTTTGTCCAAAAACAGGTGATTTTAGAATGTTCTTTGAGGTTCTTTTTTGGTTAACCTAGATGATTATTGTTTGCTATGATCTTTTTTTTTTAAAAAAAAAAAGAATAAATCCTAGAATTCTTTTTTATCACGCTTACATCTTTGTTTATAAGAAATGTAACTTATAACATCATCGTACGACATCACTTGAAACCTAATCTATATCATATCTACTAAATGTTTTGATTGATTTACGCGTTTGAGTTCTTGTTTTGATCGTTCTATTTTTTTTAAAAATGCGTGCGAAAAAAAATTTTACCCCAAAAAAATGGAAGATAACCTCCAGGAAGCTCCACATGTATCGTTCATTTATCTCCGGTTTTCCATAAATAAACATTTTGTATTTTGTGATGATACTAAATTAAATTAATTTATATTAGCTTAATAATAAAATTTCGGATTCGTGAAAATTTCAATTCGTGTATCCTAAATTAAATGGTAAACGTAATTAATTGTGATTATATAATCGTGTATGATGATTGTTGTCGATAAATGGATTCATTTATTCATTGAATTAATGAGATTAGGTTCAGGGAAAAAAAAAATAAAACAAATGTTTTACCTTTTGTACTTCACATGATTAAATATGGTTGAACTCTTTGATTTAAATTGTCAAGAATGTTATCATTCTTATTTATTTATTTACTTATTTATTTTCTTTTTCCCCTTTCACTTGAAAGGGTTTCAATGTCAAAAGAAATTCC